AGAATTAAAGACTTTTAGCCCTATACGTAGTCTTGCTTTGTGTGTAATTAAATTGTCCTTAACGTTCCAGCGAATAGGTTTATGCTACAAACCTATCATAAACATTAAGTGATTCCTGTACGACAATCCTACCCCGGGACCTTTGACCAAGACATTTACTGCTGACAGCTCTGAAGCAATCAACAAGTGATCTGCAAATCAGTGGTGTACTTTAACAGAGATAAGCCATTTCTAAGAATGACGATTAATCAGTTTGGAAATGCAGCCATGTACTTAGCTGTTCCATGTTGCAAGGCTTTGTTTTTATCACCTTATTTCTAATTATGCACATTAATAAATCAAATACAACCTACATAACCCAAAAATACACTTACTAATACTTATTATTACACAGGTTTTACATTTCTCACAATAAGTTTTAATAATAAAACTGAGCATGAGTCCAAACTAAGCATATAATTAATCTTATGTGTGATATGAATGACCCACATATCATTTTAGAATACAGTGCTATATAGTAGCTATTCTGCTTTATCATCACTGTACAAAAAAAAAAAAACCTTAATAATATTCTAAGTAGCGGTGTACGTTTACAGATTCTGAAATAAACCATCACACCTCAATATACTCCTGTCAGTAATTTCAAGCGTTTCAAGTCACTGTTCAAACAGGGTTTTGTTTTTTTTAAGAAACACTAAAATATATCATCTTTCAACTATCTGAACTTGAAACACCTTTTGTTGGCAGTAACTGTACCTTTCCGATCTTCTGATACGCTTCAATGCAGTTAAACCAGGCCAACACTGGACCCTTGTCATCAGTAGATCCTCGTCCATAGAGCTTACCTACAAAAAGAAAACTTTATTTCAGTTTCAAGGTTCTAATGAGAAGATAGTGGAGTTGACAAATGACACTAAGGTTATGTTTATTACATAGTCAGCAGACGACAGTGCCCCATTTTAAGCTTGTTTAAATCATGACTAAGGTTATGTGTAACAATATGAAACCCTTGTTCATGGTTTTTTTTAAAAAAGGTCTGCAGCAAGTTTTTGTAAAATGTGACATAATCAGCACTAACACAGCTGAGCAGGCAGGAATGAGACAGCGGGAAGAGGATGTGGCATTTTGTGTCAGCTGACTCAAAACGCACAAGATCACGCATGCTGAGTCCAACAAACCAGAACTTTAAGGAAGCAAAAAGCTCTTTAACATCCATCAATGTCTGTTTAAATCCAGATATATGTCGTAATAATACAACACACAGAACATCTAAAAGAACGCCTCACTTGAGCCATTTTGCCTTTTCACAAGCTGAGTCTATTCCAAAAGCTTCTATTAATAACTTTATGGGTTCAACTTGGCCTGAGAAGACTGGCGATAAGACTGCAGCTCTAACAAAAGATGAGCTAAATAGGCTGGACTTTGGAAACATGCTGCTAGCTGTTACTGCAAAGAGAAAGCTGATTAAAGCTTGAAGAACATTCAAATATAGTTCAACCAATCTAAACACCAAAGAGAGAGTTTGATGTTATTGATGTTGTCGCGAGATGACCCCTGTCCTTGCACCACCCCTGCCATACACCACGATGAGGCCTGTTGAGATCGCCTAAGGCCAGGTGTGAATGTGGGTTGAAGCACCTGGGATCGGGTCTCAGGCCTGCACTGGAGGTGGCTGACAGCTGGTGTTGTAATCCACCACCTTTGTTCCAACGATGGTTTTTGAGCAGAGGAAAGGTGGTTTTGCGACTAATCTCCAGTCATTGTAATGACCAAGTGATTGTAATGACATGAGCCAAGGTGAGCCCTCATATCAGGTGATGACATGATCAACGCGTCTCAGGGCCATCTTGAAAGGGAATAACGCCAACTAAGGGTTAAATACCTGGGACACACAACCATTTGTTTTTAGAACTGAAGGAGCCTCTTGGATGAGAGGTGAAATGCCTTTGCAAACTTAAAGAAGGCCAAGTGCCTTGTTTTTTCAAGCTCTCAAGACAAACCTGTGACTTGTTTTGTGCTACTCATCTTTGCATGTCAGACACATTTGTAGTCTACATAGTTTAGCTTGTTGATGGCATGCTTTCTCTTAGTTATAGTGCCATATAGCATTCTCATCTTGCACTACCTACCTGCTGACTGGATTTGTTTTTTGTAATCTGTTCATTTAAGACCACTAAAACGCTCCATCCTCATTATTTTGTTGTTTCCATAGTAATTGACCAGCTTTATTCATCTTAGAAAATTAGTTCGTCTTCTTCTTCTTTTAGTTTTGCCATCTATTCTATCTACAGGACAGTACGGTAGCTCATTTTTCAGTCATATTTGATATTATAACTTTGCTAAACCAAAAACTACCCGGTGTAACTTACAAACAGCTGGATACAGTATCCTTAAAGTTTTAATTCTCATCTATTTTTACAAGCCCAAAGCGCGTTCCAGCTGACTTCAGTTACTCGCATAACTTTCCAGCTCAGAAACAGCTCCAGGGTTGTTTTGTGCAGGACGCAGGCCAAAAGTATTCTCCTCTTACCGTCTTTCTCCACCAGAGTGAAAGGCTCTGTGTCCCAGCCATCATCGATGTTTGCTGGCTGAACATCAAGGTGCCCGTAAATACACACCGTCTTCTTGGCTGGGTCTGATCCTAACTGCCCCAGAATGATAGGAGGCAGGGGGATCTCCTCTCCTGAGGGAAGCTGCATGAATGATGATTTATGGTGAAATTTAAGTAGAAAAGATAACGCAATATACAAATCATTAATGCATTAAGAAATGTAACCAGTGCAAGACCTTCTGCTTGCCAACGTCCACCAACTCCACAGTCCCTCCCAGCCTCTCGATGTCCTTGGCTGCCATCTCCATCATTTTTTTGATCTCCCCGCGCTTCTCAGGCCAAGCAGACACACTCTGGACACCCACCCACTCAGCCAGGCGCTGAGGACAATTATGAAAAAGGGATTTAAATTAAAATAGGTGTTTTAGGCACTTTCGTCATGCTCAAAAAAGAGCCACAATGAGTTATTCTTAGGACATCAGACCTTCTACAAAATTTGACTAAAGCAGCAGTTATAATATCTGGTTTTACAGTTGGCATCTACTATAGCGCCAGCTTAAGTGAATGAGTTACAATGCTGTCCAGTTTAAAGTTAGCTCAATAAATTATTAAATCAAATGACAACCATACAATGATTAAACAGCCAAGAGGTCTTACATTGCGTCCAGCATAACTATTATATTTTTCCTGAGTAATCTTACCTGCACATACAGGTCCTGGTGGTCGTCCACATACTTGAAAAGTTCTGTGAGATGAGACATTTTGTGCCAGCAATGGGATCTGAGGGTTAAACAAGCAGACTGGTGTGAGTCCACCTCTGGGTTTGTGCAATCTTATGAGAGGACAAAGACCACGCCTTCCTGCAAATTTGCTGACTGCTGCTGAATTTGCAGCTCCCATCCTGCACATTAGATCATGAGACTTAAGCTTGTTTCACATCATAATTTCGCAGATCCACAGCTGCAGCTGATCAGCACTTTAACGCCAGGTTTTCAGAACAAAACAGCAAGAAAATGTCAAGAAATGTGAGGCTCATAGTACAAAGTTACAACAACTGACGCAGTAAAGGATAATGCTCAGTTCTGTGCCTTCTGGTCCCTGCTTCTACACTTATCAGATAACCTAAAAGCCACATGCTGATGCAGTAAATTAATTAAGGTAGTTGAACTTTACTGTAAAATGCCTCACTCGCTGAGTAACTGCATTTAAAGTACTGTTTAAACTAAATGTACTTATCATAGAAAATATCGTCTCATGTCTTAACAGCTTAGAGTTGTGTGGCGACCAAACATAATCGAGCTGCACAAAAGATGGTAGTTTATTATTTATTAGTATTAAAACAACAGTTAGGTAGACTATGGTTGATAACATGTGTAGACGTGAAAAGATCACTAATTGTGTGAAGAAAGCCATAAACAACAATTAAACCGTTTCGTACTGAGTGAGAAACTGAAAGAAGGTCATGAAAACTTCAGCACACACGGAGGTTACTTTCCACAGGTGTGCACTGAAATTTGGACTCGCCCTTGTTGTTGCACGACCACTCCTCTAGACCATATATCTGAATATTTCCATGCAAAATAGGCACAGAGACTTAGATGTAATAGTTAATATAGTTCTTTTTTCTTTTTTTTAAAGCGGATATAACCTTTTTCGGCTTGGTACCAGCGGGTTTTGTACAGCATGCTATGAAACACGAATAATGAGGTGGTAAAATGGCAAGTGAAGCGAAACTAAGTTGGCTAAGCTAAGCGGGTGCTGGAAGGTAGGTAACGGGTCATTGCCGTTATATCTACCGTCTGGGTTAATGTGACCGAGACCTGATCTAGCCAAATACTTTGGTCATTTCTAAACTGCAAAGAGAAATATTAAAATCTACCCGTCTTGTCAAACAGACTTACTGTGTTTTTATTCCAGATCAGCTGATGTAAACATGTGACTCCGGGCCCTTCTCAGCTGACAAAGACTTCCTGTATTTGCTAACGACGGACAACTCTGAGGTCTGCAGTAAAAAAAAAAAAAAGAAAAAGAAAAAAAAGAAGCAAAACAACAAAAGCTACTTGTTTTGTGGGGGGGAAACCCAAAGCGATTCAACTCGTGGGGTAAAAACAACAACCCACCATATGAACTGCTTCAAAGCGCAAAGAATTATGGGTCATCGGAAGCTGCTTCGTCACGGGCGTCTCATCGGGAAAAAAAAATACATTTACTTCTCAATTGTTTTCCCGTTTGTTAAAAATGACAAAAAAATAATTGTTTTTTTTTATTTTATCTACCAACACCACATAAACATAGTTGCACATCTGTTTCTTTGCATGTTCAAGTTAACGAAATAAAGTTGAAAGAGAAAAATATTTAAGAAATGACTCCAATGTTAAGCAATATGGCACATGGAAAAAAAGCTTTCAATATTTTAAGTATAGCGGACTTTCAGTTCCTCTGGTTTGTATAAAGGACTTTACATGCATATTCATACAAATATAATATTTCTTACAAAATTATTGTTGCGGCTCTTCCAACCAACGGTCGCTGCAAGCTAAACATGAGGACACAGATGACGCGCAACAATAAACACATGAGATAGACCTCTGTACTATTTGCTCCTTTAATTCCACTGTCCACTATACAAAATCAGAACATGGGATCAAAGCATGATACAAATGCAGAGACTGCACAAGCAAACGAATGCAACTTACAAATTACACCAATTACTATGCCAAACTACAGCCTCTGGCATAAATTAGTGCACCAAACTAAACTCAAGCTGCATGCAAAAAAATAAATAAAAAATTTGCATCAAAATGACTCAAGATGCGGTCAACAGAAGGTTTCCCCTCATGCTCACCCTACCTACCTTTCTGCTCAACATCAGGTGCAGTGAACAGGTGAGTGCAACCACATTTATCACCTAACACCCATGAGTCACGCCCCACACCCGTGCACCAATACAATGTGTGCATTTTTAACCAACCCTCTTAATCCAAAAAAGGAACAACTCATATGGCTCCTACAATGTTGTAAATGGATCAAGCTCACTGAAAACTTCTAATTTATAGGGGAGCTCAAATGATGTAGTCTACATGTTAACAGCACACAGCTTTAGGTCATTTACTGATGGATGCTTATACTTTTAACCCGATTTGCAAGATGGGTGTATGTCAGGAAGCTCTGAAGAGGACTTTATTAAAAAAAAATAATAAGGCATGTTAATGACAAGCAGCCACATGTAAATGACAGGCCCAAAGAGGGGAAGCTTTTAAATTTGTGTTATGAAACCAACATCAACCACTGGGGGAAAAGGGGAGGCTACAGTGATAAAAGCCAGATTCCTTTAGATTTGTGGGACCACTTGGATGTCACCAATGAATTATCAAAAGGGTCTGCCAGGTATACATCTATAAAGACAATTATTCAAAAGTACAAGCAATTTAAAAGTCTTAAACTGACAGCTGAAGCAATGACCATAAGGCATTGTATCAAGTATTTATTTGGATTGCAAGATGATTTTCCGGTTGTGTGATCAATATGGCTTTGCAGTCTGGCACAATGAGAATCTGAGGAATTGACAGTAACTTGACAGCGACAGGCCAACACTGGTGCAGCTTCACATTTCACACAGCGAATTGTGATCAAATCACATTTAAGTGCTAATCAACCAAGGTCACACTGCCTTTACAGCTCTTCCTCCACACCCTGCTTTTTACAAGTTTTAGATGAAGACAAACTTTGGACAGAATCTGATGGGTTCACCCATCAGTGGGGGGCTCAGACCCACTACTCCATGACTAAAAGAATCAGCTCAGGCATTTCTAGCACATCCCACTGGAATGAGGCCCCAGGACAGACCCAGGTTCCCTTTGAGTACATTATGCAGTATGATGGCAAACTACACTTGAAATTGCACTAAACTTATGGTCATTTTACCTAGACGCAATATTTCTTCTTTGGCTCTCGGAGGAGGCGGACGCACTTTTTCCTCCTCTCCCTTATCATCCCTGCTTATGTCCTTGTCTAGTCTCGTGTTGTTTTGTTTTTGTATTTTCCCTGGAACACTCAGTCTGTTCTCTAAAACCTAAAAGAGGAATTATGGATTGGATCAACTGGTCCCTAAATGCAATTGACACCCCTTTCTCAACGAGAAGTTTGGGCTTGGGTGAGCCTGAGTGCTGAAGATATCTACCTATTCGGAACCATGGTAACAGGGTTCTGGCTGATCGGAGCTGGCTTGGCCCTGACTTATCGAAGAATTAAGAAAGCGGAACCGGCTGTTCAAACCCCCACAAGGCTGCCCGCTGGGATTGGAACGATGGGAGAGGCGTGAGTTTCTCAAAATGGGCTCATTGAGTCAGCACGGATAAGATCTTGGAGAGGCTACGGCTGCTGTGAATACTCAGAATAAGATCTGACTGCAGACTGGATACATCTCGGAAGGGCTAGCCCGGAATAACATCTCGGGGAGGCACACTGCCGTGAGTTCTCAGAAATCGGCTCCTTGAGCACAAGAAATGACAACATCACAGAACGCAAGTATGGCGAAGCTCGCGGCTCTCCAACGGTGGAGACCAGTGTTGGACTGTAGAACTGCTTTGAAATTCATATGAGCTGTTCGCACTAAAGTAAAAAATACCATCACTTATGCGGATACCCTCTCGGCGCCAGCTGCAAGGCCGGAGCTGAACAAAACACCCTGATAACGACTGTGTTTAGTCTGTTCCTTCCCATTCCATGCAAGGCCACCTGGGTTGGCTGGAAGACTGTTTACTTAGCCTGGCAGGGCGAAGGACACTGTCTCAGCTGAACTATGGACACGCACACATACTGATAAGCACTCACTGACGCATCACCCTCCCTACCCCGGATCCAACGCCACCTCCAACGCTTACCTCCCCTCTGATGTGGACATCGGGTCAGTTGGAGGCGCAGTCGAAAGATTGCAGCGGTCCCAGATCAGATGTACACACTGGAACACTTTCCCATGTTGCTTGTCTGTGTTTATTGTGCTATGGTGTGTTGATATCTGTGCATTCCTGTATTATCCTTTTGTGTTACACATTTCGATGTTTTTTCCTCGCTACCTAGCCTGACCTGTCTCCCCAATGTGATGTTTGTGTATTGTATGTACGGTCGGCAAGGTCTGTCATCTCGGTTGTGGGCAAAAGACCTGCAACTGACAAATAAAGGCTTCTCATCTCATTTCATGTGTTTGCTCAATGTTTCCATTGTGTAGCATGCACTGCAGTCTTTGATTGCTGATCACTGAATTGTGTCATGTTTTAGTGCTTGATAAGTTCAATAAACAACATTTCAATGTCTGGATCTGAAATGCCAAACCCTGAGGTCCACACTAGTTATACCTTGCAGTTCTTAATGATGACAAAAGATCCATGCATAGTGAATTAAAAGGCTTTATTTTCTTAGTTAAATCACAATGTTAGTTTCCAGATCAAATCCTTATTGAACCTGGAAGAAAATGAATCCAATTAGACCATTAAACAAGTTGCAAATTATCACCAAGATTTAGAGACTCACCCTCCCATCAAAGCACCGCTCATCACATCTCTTTTCTGCTGGCAGACAAACTTCTGCAGAGCACATGAAATAAATCTGGCAGGGAATGAACACCGAGTAAAACAAAGTTAATCTTTCAATATCCAAGGCAAACATTGACTTTAAAAACTGTTTTCTGCTTAGAACCCAGACAACCTTTTTTTTTTTTTTAAACACATGTAAATTAGGAACTGTTCCAGCATTAACTCCTCCAACTCACCTCTTCATTTAGGTACTTGTTTGTCCTTTGATCCATGAACTGGAAGGCACTCACTATAAAGCGTTTTTCATGATTCACTCCAGGAACATTGCTGACTTTAAGTATGGACACATGTGGGTCATGAGGATTGGCACACCTGCAGACAAGCATAACTTGCAGTCAGAAGTTCAAGATAACCTTCAAGCTCTAAAAGGTTGATGGTCGTGCTTACCCTTCATAGATTAGCACCAGAGCATTTTTTGCAGAACGAGGATATGCCAGGCAGTAATTTACAAGAATTATTGCATCTGCGTTAGGAGAACTGAGGCGCAATTCAAGATACACAGGGCGGCCGAGGAGCAGCCGCAAGGGCTGATGGTGATGGTCATAGAAACTTGAATAAGTCTCATCTGTTGGGATGAAACAGAAGGCATTTAGCCAGTCTTCACACCAGCAGAGTTTGTCAAGCCCGTCTACTGTAGTTTGTTGGAAAGACAATGCAATGCCCAACCTTTGGCAATTCTCAACTCGACACCATATAAACTGTTAGAGATGACTGAAGAAGGCATACTGGAAGGTGGGGTCTTCACCATGTAGCCAACACTAGCCATTGATTGAGCAGTGCCCCATTTGTTATAGCGGCACTCAATCAGAAATCTACAAGAGATCAAATAAGCCATTAATACCACGTGCCAGTCTAGAACACAGCATACTGCTCACCATGTGCCCCTGCCCCTCAGTCTGTTAGATTTGTGTTTGCATATTAAAATCTAGCACAAGCCACTAACCTGAGTGGATCAGTTCTTGTAATGACACCATACTTTAGATTGAGAGCAAGAACAATACTCTGCACTTCAGCCAGGTATATCGTCACCTCACCAACATCCTGTCAACACAAGTTACATTGGATGATTTACTTACTGAGGAGCAATTTATAAGAATACAAGCCAGCATGTTAAAAGCCAAGTGTCTGCTTAAGTCTCAAAACCTTTGTAACTTTTAGGAGAACCTCATACCAGTGACAGTTTAGATTAAAAGTTGATTCTGACAGATCAGATGGCGCATGGAAGAGTTCAGACAGTCAACAAGCTTTAGACATGTCATACTAGAGACATCCTTCCAGTTTAAGCTGCATAAACCCCCCAATCTGTCAGCAGTACTGCCCCCTGTACTGCTGCCTGCTATTTAGCAGCAAAACGTGTAGGCTGTTGCAGTGGCAAATCAGGGTGATAGCTGGTCATGACCGCTCATTAAAATTAGTCCTGCAGTAGCATATACCAACATCTCCAAGTCAAGCACCAAAGCATTCTTATTCCAGATTTGGACATATACCAGGTTGCGGCCAAAAAGTCAAAGCATTCCTACAAAGTTTGCCAAGTAACAGCTTTGCTGGAGGGGTAACTTACATAAGAATGGGTTCCACATTCTGTAACTTTGAACTTAAAGATGGCGACCTGGTTGTTAACAATGGCTGGTTTACACTCTGGATTTCCAGGAACAATCAGTCTGGTAGGATCCACAGGGATGGATGCAGAGTTGTACCGAATGGCAAATACAAAATGTTGATCCACTGTGCACTCTACAGGAAGGATAGAAAAAAGCCACTTAAGTTTCACGGATTAAAAATTCAACATTTATACCATCTGTCAAAAACTAGCCTTACCTTCAAGTGGGTAGTAGCAGACAGACGCTAGCAAATCCACACAACAGCCCATGACCCGACATTCTGAGACAGATATTCCATAATGACCACATCTCACCTGCTCTCCCACAGGGACGCTGC